TATATATATATATTGGTACATATTAACTGAACCAAGTGGCAGATGCTGACAGATCAAGCTTACCAGCTGGAGTGGACTGTCAGTTGTGCAGAAGATTTTTCAGATGAAATATCTCTAAATCCAGGCTGGTAATAATTCTGTTGGCACGCCTTCTAATGTTGGCCGACAGCCAGGCACTCCCTCCTTGGTGACCCGGGCGTGAAGTGGGGCATGGCTGTGGCATCATGATTGGGTCATTCCTCCCACAATCTCTACAAAAGCAGAAATGTATAAAAGCATTAACGATTTTTCAGTTCATTAAAATTCAGATGTTTTATTCCTGAAAGCATGGGCAAAAACAAACAGAATGAAAGTGTTTGGATGTTCAAACTCAAAAGCCCAGAAAATAAAGTGTCAAAGCTTCAATTAGCTGCATGGACTTGGGGAATCCAACACTTCAAAGCAGTTAAGAATTCAACAAGGAAAAACAGTAACATTAAAAGCAAATATTCTTTGAAAGCACACTGTAAACGTTTAAACACGTCATCTCAGAGAGAACGCTGTTGTCCATTTAGTTTTTCCCACGTACCCCCATTTCAAACGCAACTCTGCGTTGATGATCAGACGTGAAGGAGTCATTCATGGGGCTAACTTGGCACCACACGGTGATGAACCAAAAAGGAGCGAGCTGTTTCCCAACCTACTTGGACCTGAATTTGGGAATGTGGGGTGGAGGGAGGGGTTGCAATGAGCTATCCCCATGGCAACCAGCAGCCCAAGGATAACGACTCCTTTGTACTTGGCCACAAAGAGGGAGAAAAAGAAGCACAGCTTCAGAGAGTTCAAGAGGGTCGATGGTATGGGTTGCTGAGGGGTAGGGGTGGYGAAGAAGTCTCACAAGAAAATAAATAAATAAAGTAAATATAGACATACAAACAAGACGTTACATGCAATACATTGCTGGTTTTATGTGTGAGATGTATAGATAAAAGAGAATGACTTCAACTCATTAAAAACACCGTAATTATTTTAATTAAAGTGTTTTTTTTTTTTAGCTCAGGATGGAAATTAAAGACAGCTGATGTGACTAACACTCTACAGGCTCTCATTTACATAAAAAATAATTAGTTCCCGTTTAGACTTATTACATCACATTTTGCATTTTAAAGCATCACGTTTGCACAGTAATGATGCATATTTTATTTATTATTTTTAATCACCATTATTTAACCAGGAAAGTCCTGTTGAGATCTCAGATCTCTTTTTCAAGGGAGGCCTGGGCCTGAAGGCAACCTATATAGATACATAATGTATAGAAAATCCCAAAACAGCACAAAACTGAGCACAACAAACTTTAGAATGATAAATAGGTAGCAAGACATGATCGTGCATACATTTTTTTCACCCAKTGTAAATGTACGTGCATCCTAAAACTGCTGTGCTTATATGTAATAATCAAACGCTGCACTCTGGATGACCTGCAGCTGGTATTTCAAATGCTTGGCTGACAAATTGTGTTTCTGCAAGTCAGGTCATGAGACATCTGTTATGTTTTTTGTGTTACTATTTTTACCTACAACTCCTAAAAAATAAAGTGGATTCAGACAGAACATAAAAATGCAACCTCCATTTCTCAAGATGCTTTCATTTAACCACTGATGCAACGACATGTTGAGGTGTTTGTTCCTCTGCCTTCTGTAATTACTCAACTAATATACAGTTTCTGCAGTTATGTTGGAAAAACTCAAGTTGCCTCTCCCAGATTTGAAAAAAAGAGCAATAATTGGTAACATAGTATGAAATAAATTTTCTTTCTAAATAACCCAAAGTGGTGCATGTTAAGAATTGTTGTTTACATCATAGAAAAGACTCTTTCTGAAAAAAAAATATGACCTTTTCTCAGTTTTGAGTAGAGCTGAATATATCACAAACTTTTTGTCATTACAATAAACAGCCTGTGCAATAGGCATATTGCAAAAAAATGGCATAAACTGCAATGGTTGGCTCTAATGTTTGCATTTATACATTTTGTCAGCATTAGTCTGATAAACAAAATGGACAAATTCCACATCAAATCATGACCACTTGGTCAGTGGAGAAAATGTTGGACAACTGCAATGAGAGAATTTGCAGTTCAATTTAGGTTTAACATTTATTTAAAATTCTTTGACTTATTTTTCGATATTTTTATTATTTATTTTAAAAAACTGATAGTACGGAGCATTTTTCAATATTTAGAGCATCAGAAAATGTTTAATGGGGAGATGTTTCAAAGTTATAGTTGTTGTTGTTTTGCTCTGAACCCAGAGCAGAGCACTGTATGCAAGTATTTATTCAGTTATCGCAAGTCATCAAGTTATTATAGCAATATTAAGCACAGTTATCACACATCACAGGTTTTCCTGACATCGTGCAGCCCTAGTTTTGAGCCACATGTAAACAGTCACTATGTTCAGAAACACCTGGCATATCCCTCCTCTTTGTTGTTGATAGAGGAGGGAGAAAGGCTAAATCTTTGTCAACTTTGTAGTCATCTAAAAGTTACATAAAATGGCAAATTCAGCAAATTTAATTTTAAAGGTATTTTTAAACTCTAATAAACCAGTGTCAAATCAGACCTGGCAAAGCCAAAAAAAAGTCTGATTCATGCTACCTAATAAAACAAAGGACGGACAGCTTAGCTATCATGTGGTTAATCAGTATACTAAAGGAAGGGAAGGTGGAAAGTCAGTGGGACTATTTATAGCTCCTGCCTGTGCACCTAAGAGCACCCAAAGGTTCGGTTCTAGGTTCTGCTTTACTTCTGACCTTATTTTAAACCCGCAAAGCAGGAGGCTGACACAAGCTGCCCTGCCCCAAGTCTCAATCAAGCGGTCAGCRGTGGTGACRAAATGCCAGAGACTGCTGATTTGGACTWTGGAACTCAGAAACTCCATTACTGCATTGCTGAACACTGTAATTGTGTTAATACACATCCTCTATGTTCTCATATTCACCTAATCCATGCGAATTAAGTAATCTGCTTCAAACCTGACCTGGACATGCAGTAACAGCAATGAGAGATTTACCAAGACATACAAACTAGAATCTATCCACAGTGATTCAATAGTGCCTGTGGGGGGAGTCCAGTAGGTGTGTTTCTAAAACTTTTAAAAAATGTACAGCTTGTTAATTTCAGTAATGAATAAAGGAGTGAACAAGGCACAGTGTAAATTACCTGTTAATGATTAGAAACATGTAATTTACAAATGTCACCAACACCGTTCTTGTAGGTACAAAACATCACCTGACAGCAACACCAGAGCATCACCTTCACAGAAAACCAGTCCAATCAGGTGTTAAAGCTGTACTTTTATTTGACTGGAAAAAATGTCAACATTGTACAAAAATTGTCAGGTACTAAGTTCACTGTCTCGTCACTTCTTAGGTGCTAATTTAGGCTGCACTTAATTAGAAACACTAGCTGTGGCCAATTTGCACCTAAACAGACTTGAAAAATTATAGAAACAAGTTCAAATGCTTTAGAATGTAAAGTTGCATATCTTTAAAAAACAAATTCTATTTTCCTATTCTTGATACACAAATGTTATGTTGTCTACATTAAATGATTTTATTTTCTCATTTAAATGTTAATTTAAAAAACACTAATGACAGTGGTTCAGTTTCTCATTACTGTCATTWTTCTGTGATGAAGATATTATGCGTCATTGATAAGAAAAAATAATAATAAAAACAGACATAACATTTGCTACACTGCTAAAACCATACCATTAAATATTCATTACAAGATTGAAAATGGTTAGACAGATAAAGATGAATAAAAGAAAAACATCTGACACATTCAGATACATCAGGAGTAAATGGAAGATGGAAAAAAAAATAGATAAACAACAGCCTGGTCAATGATCTTGAATAAGGAATCAAAAAGCCAAGAGAAACACGAGCCCCTTTCCCAATTTCATGGTTAATCATGGTTTTCATGGTTAAGACAAATACAGTAAGCTGATGGGTCTGAGACTTKTTACTTTATAGTCTATAAATCAAGCTCTAAAATATGTAGACAGTGCTTTTTTTTTTTGATAAAATGTGTTTAAAAACAAGCAAACATAAAGTTTAAGGAAAAAAGGATCGCAGAAAAACAAAGTCTTAAAGTTTTATAAAGATCTAAAAAGGCTCAAATTCGTTTTGGTTAGAGAGATTTTTAAACATCCAACTAATGTTGTTTCACACATTAATTAATTAATCCAATTAACTCTTGAATCCAAAATGAAACTAATTGAAAACTACATTTGCTCAAGTCGACCGCAGTTCCAATTTTCCCTACGGCTACATTTTACTAAATAAAACAGAGACAACATTTTAATATTCACAAAAACATTCAAATTTACCCAAAAACTAAAAACTGTTCTGAAAATAACCTTTAAGGAAGCCATTGTGCTGCAGAGATGTGTCAGACATGTGGAGAAAAGCTACACTAAAGCACTTTTGTGTGTTGAGGCAAAGGGAGACTATGATCATGAGGTCAAAGGTCAGCTGTCTTGGGTCAGATGACTGAGCACATCAGGAGGCCCAGAGGTGCTTCATTTCATCAACTTGAGGAAGATGGTGTCAGGGATAGAAATAATTAGCTCAAAGCAATGTGATTTGTTTTCCTGAAGCAGCCTAATCGAATCAAATGAGCCTAAAAGACTCAAGATTTTAAGAGGCCACTAGAACAGCTGTGTGTTCAACAAAAACATCTGTAAACCAAATCAGGACCTCGCACAAACTATAAAAAATTAAATAATAAAATGTTAATAACCGCATATTATGAGCACAAAATGTTTCTGAGTGGTGTTTATGGATACTGAGCTTAGAAACAAGTTCTCTATTATCTCTGGATGTGACAAGAGCAGAGTTCAAAGTTGGCACCTATCCTTAAATATAGCCTGACATTTGGCATGTGTTGCTATTAATCACTAAACAAAAAAGACACAAGTGAGTGCACAAAAACAGACACAAACCCTGACATCCAAACAGCCTCGTTCAGCAGGAAAACTTTTTTCCTGCATGAGTTTTTTACAATTGCTGAACTCCACCTAAAACGTTGTATCTCAGAGGAACACAGCTGCTGTGCTGTTTACAGATGTCTGTAAAGTTCATAGATACGGAGAAAAGATGGGTGAAAACTTTTGATGGCCTCTGGTATTTACTTTGCAAACTAAAATGAACTTAATAAGTTTAGCATCAGCTGATCAGTTCAGAACTTGACGATTTTTTTTTACCTCGCCAG